CACATTGTAAAAAATGTGCATATTAAAAACTTCAAAAGTGGCAAAAAACATGACGTCATCACTGTGACGTCACAACTTTGACATTTACTGATATTTTTCCGGTAAATATAATTGGCAATAGGTCTCCTGCTCATCTGCCAAGTTTGGTGTAGAATGAGTCAATACTTTTTAAGCAATGCGAAATAATGTGAAATACCCAAGAACTAACGAAACATTTGGGGGGTGGTTTGGCCCCTACGTGAATATGTATATTTATTAAGTCCTCGAGTTTCACGCACGAAGCGATCATCAGACTGATGATCGCTTCGTGCGTGAAACTCGAGTAACTGTCCGTACGGTCTCTATCTTTAATTATAGTATTCCGCTCTGCATGTATTTGCATCGAGCACTTCTACGATTGTGAGAAACCTTTTACATTTTTCTTTATATTTATGAAGTCCATTGTTAATTCTTATTTTCGTGAAGTTTCATGTTCAATTTTCTCTCGTTTGTCTCAAAGTTTTCCCATATTGGTTGTTAGCTTAAAAAGGGGGGGGAGGGTCATGGCAGAGGCAAGGGATGGCATTTAGGGATTCTACGGGTAACCAGGTTTGGATCCTGCTCTTTAAAAGCGTTTCTACTGCTAGCTTAGCCCAGGCGAAAAAAAGCAAGAAGATAGATGAAGTGTTTTTAGTCACTATAAACGCTTGAAGATAATTTTAGATCCATATTTCAGCTGAAAATAAAATATCGTAAGTCCTCGAATAAGCGCCCCTCCTATCGGCCAAAATTNAAGTGCCCCCTTCGAATAAGCGCCCCTCCTATCAGCCAAAATTTAAAATAAGCGCCCCCTCTCTAATAAGCGCCTCCTCCCCTCCCCTCCCCCCATTTTGTGGACGAGTAATTAGACAACAAAGGATGTATTGTTTTGGTCGTGTTTAATCACTCTCATCCATCCTTTTTATACAGTCATTAGTAATTTACATCTTTACAATACAAGAAACATATTTCTTTTCCTCTAAGTTGCATCCTACAATTTCTTGTTTCAGTTTGTAAACACGTTCAGTTTAGAAAAAAATTACCAGCAGTAACGGTGCAGCGATTTAAATTTTAGGATCAGCTTTTTATGTCGATAAACAGCTGCAGTTGTTGTTTACGCGCAGATGATATGATGTATTAAAAAAATGATCATGTCAGGCTACGATTTGATAAAAATTAAATAAGGSCCCCCCCCCCTCCCCTCGAATAAGCGTCCCCCGTCTCCTCCTAAATTTGAATTAAGCGCCCAYGCGCTAATTCCAGGATTTACGGCAGTAAAGGTAGTCTACACGAAGAAAGGCGTTTGAAAAAAGTAGCCCCTGTCCACACAGTAGTGATCTTGACATCGAACTGCATTGTAGTGAAGATAAAACCTGTCACCCACGCAGAATCTGTAGCGACAGACTTGACAAGCGAAGCAGTCGAGATGATACACATGTTCACGAGCCCGCATGACCATTTCCAGCGGCGGTATTGTTTTCAAGCATCGGGAGCAAATTCCCGTGGCACCAAATAACCTGAAAACAGAAGAAATTTAGTAAAACTGATAAAGGTAAACGGATATTCTTCGCAGAATGCAGGAAGTATTATTTTGTTGTTGTCGTTTTGTGGTGGTGATTGTACCTAGCTACTCGTAGCTCTTTGGTGTATATCGGTGGTATATCAAGTGAGTTTGGTCGAGCCATGGTTCGTATTTTGGCAACATGTGCAAGGTTCAGCCAAAATACCCATGGTGAGACCAAATGAACCAGATATGCCGCTGAACCGTACCAAAAAGGTAGGATGGTTTGGCCATCCGTAATTTCCGCTACATCAGGCCAGTGACTTGATATCACAGAACATCGACACAGTAATCACAGCGTCCATGGCTAATTACGATTTTAAGTAAGGTACTAGCCAAATTTGGCCACGCGGTACAACTGTACAAGACAATTATCTCCTGTATTAAGATCCGAAAATTGAAACACGTACGTGGCATTTGCTGTTCCCATGCTATTGACCCAAGAAAGTATAACAAAAAACCTCACTTGACCACTACAGAAATTGATAGCGTTATATTCAAGGCCAAGGTTTTAGTCACGCAAGGGGGACTGCCGAACATTAAGATTTTGTTACAAAACGACTTTGAGGATAATAACACTACTGTAGCACTTTTTGACTTCAAACTTTGTTTAACTTTCGTTACACTTTAAAAAAGCTACTGGTACTAGAAGCCGTGGTATAATATTTCCAAGGTTATTTCATCATAGCGTCCTGTGTAGCTTCGCTTATGGAGAGAAGAAGTTTTGGGAATATCCCACAGGAGTAAGCTTACAGCTGGAATAACACTAATGGCAGCTGTGTCACCGCATGTTCAGTGTGTATTATTAAGCGTCACTCATGCTACATTTTACAGTCAGTGCCATTCGAAAATCGTAACTGCCATTATTATTTATTTTTGTTATCAAATATGAGGAAAGTTACCACCGCATCGGATCGTGAAAGCTCAAAAGAGTACAGTTACGTTTGAAAGATTTTCATAAACTTTTCTGCCAAACCTATCAACAAAAGTCACGTACGACTAAGACATGAATGTATTGTTAAAAACACTTTCTGACGTTGTTTCGTCCCTCGAACTTCCTACGACCAAGTGTTCAAAATTTAGTATATGTTAGTGACTGACCCATAGCTTTCCACGAGAAAACTTAAAGAAAACGAATTNTGAATTAGTCAGTTTGTTTGTCACTGGTTTTGCAGGTATTTCAGCATGTCTGTGCCAGACACCCGACAGCTTGAATATCTGCATGGCTGGTCTGTCCCTAAAGCTGTACGGGAAATGTCACAGTGTCGTTTTACGTCAAGCTTGATATGTTTTTGCCTTACCTTGTCAAATTAAAATCAAGGTCAGATTTTTACCTTTATAAAAACAACAAAAGACTCACCTGATGTAGTCTCGTTTACAAAGTATTAAATCTCCTTTGTGGTAAAACTTGAAGCTCAAGTCAGCCAGCTGTGTGTTGCAGTAGGAACATTTCAGACACTCTTCATGCCAAAATTGGTCCAAAGCTCGCAGCAAAAACTTCCCTTCGATCTTTTTCTCACAATGAGCACAGATTTTCAGTTCTCTGGGCTTCTCCTCCCCCTCCTTTTTGCCCTCTTTGTCTTTGTCTTCTACAATTGAGAAACCGCTCATTAAAGCGTTATTTAGTTCTCGAAGACACACGAGAAGCACACGCGTGTCTGTGCAACCTCGTATCATTCACGAAAGATTCAGGATGATCATTTTAAGCAAATAAAGTTTCCTTTCCAAAATTGTGCAACAAAATAAAACAATATTTTTGGGAGATTATGTTATTTGGTTGAATTGGCACTTAGAGGTTTTTTGGCAATAAATTTGTTGAGGACAGTTAAAAAGTCCACTGTTTAAGCTATTGGATAATTCACCATACAAATAATGGCTTCAATATTAGTTCTGAGGGCAGGCAAACAGCAGCTTAATCAGTCTATGCCACGGAGTCAATGGATATATCGGGCCTAACCAGCGGCTAAAATTTAACAACACCTTCGCTTATTCAGAGGATGAATGTTATCCGCTGAATAGAGATTTATCTAAATCGGTCATCCACTAAGTTTAAACAGCACGTCCTTGAAACTTCTTGAATCGAAAACTTCGTGAATCAGTTAAAAATCTGAGTTCCAAATATGCGTGGTGACCCCGGCATTTTGAACCCACACTACAAGAAATTACGAAGGCCTTTATATTCTCGAGCATTATGTAAAGCCCCTGAACTCTTAGCTATATAAGAAAAGCAAAAGGGCTAGACAGGGATTAAAATATTGTAAGATTGTTGTCTTACCCATGTTCGGACATGTAATTCGGCACAACCTGTGTTGAAGAGAGAACGTTTCAGCTGTACACTTGAATACTCGGACACTGAGAAAGTGAACTTAAGATTACCAAGGTGTACTTCAGTGCTTTAAATCGGCTTTGGATTTTTGCGGATCGAGTTTCTTGACGCAAAATCCTGTGGGTTTCGATGATCAAAGGTCCTGATTCAACAATACCCTCTCGAGACGAATTCCGAGCGCGTGGCAAGTCTGAATGAGCAGTTTTAACCCCTCAGCTGTCTTCTGGGTTTGGCGAACATGCACACGAATAAAATAAACGCTTATCATGCCAAGGAAAGTTATGAAGTTTTCAAAACAACTTTGTGTCATTCATGCTCTATCTTACAGGAAACATTTCCGGGAGTTCAAAGGAGTAGTGTGTTTTTTTACATCCAGAGATATAATCCAAGGATAGTGGAGAGGATGCTCTTCCGGCGAAGAGCAGTAATTTGACAATGCAATCAGTGCAAAGCCCTGCAATGTTGTACACGTATCAAATGCAAAACAAAACAAACAACTGGCCACGTTATGCGCGTCTTAGTTTAGTCAAACTAATAAATCTAACATAGCTTGCATCAGAGAAGGGTGTGCGAATCCCTTTCAGCTGTGATAGAGATGAGAAGCATATTTCTCTTCAAAGTGATTTGTACAAGTTTTTGCACTTTAATTTAACCAACAAATAAACAATAAGAAATGTATAGACCGCCGTTGGATGTCGACCTTTGCTAAATACCGTCATGCATGCTTTTGATTCAGAAGGAATTTAAATTGTTTCATCAAAAGCAAGCTAAGTTACATTCAGAATATTTTTTTTGTTTGTTTGTTTTTTTTTTTAACAAGAAAAGGCTGGCGGCCAAGGTCGACACAGTAACCTCTGATGACAGAAAATTCAATACCGTCGGTCATGGTGCCACCAATAAAATGAAACATTTTTAGATCCTATTCATGATCAAGTTATGTTTCTGACTTTAGGTAGATACATTGTTCAAGAGGCATGAGCTGTATTGCAAAGCAGCGAAGGTTTTTCAAGTAACGTTCGCACGGACAGAAGATGCAATGACTGAAGTGAAGTCGCTATCTACTTCTTTCAGTTTTCAATGTTTTCGTCTAAGGCATGGAGATGATTTTATAAAGCTACTGGTGACACGGAGGTAGGGGTACACCCCCCCCCCCTCCCTCTATAGAAGCGAAATAGCGTGTGCACATGCAGCAGCAAGGGTATGCCTTTCAAATGGGCTGAAGTCATTGGGAATATATTTTGATCATTTTGGTAATCAGGTAATTAGCCATCTTGCTTAGTACCTTATTAAAGGAAATTAACGCTCGTGTTAATTAACGTATTTGAAATTAACGCGACTTAAATTAAAGCGAATTGAAGGTAAATTTGCTTCCCAATAACGGAAATTAACGCGAGAGAGGGGGCAAAATTTTAAAATGAGGGAATTAACGCGTCTGCTACACCACACAAAAGAAAGAATTTGTTGAGAACAGGAACCAATTCATTTTAACACTGTAAAGCTGACAGCGAACACGAACAAAGTTCAGTTGAAGTACAGTAAACGATTTACTAATGTGAAAGATTGATGTGAAACGTAAAGTGCACGAATACAATTTATTGTTTGGTTGTGTCAAGAATGTCTGGAGTGTGTCAAAGATTTGGGGACAAATAATGGCTAATTAACGTCGAGGAATTTAACGCGCAACTTAATTAACAGCGCGGACATTTACATTAAAATAAATTAACGCGACTTAAATTATCGCGAATTTTTGAAATTCGCCTTAATTTCATGAAGTGTTAATTTCCTATAATTAATAAGGTATACTGTAACTGTAACCATATTTGTAATGAGAAATATAGATTTAGTTTTGTTGTTGTTAGTTGAAACATTTTTTTTTTTCTATTAACATCCGGCGGTGAGTTCGAAGGCCCTTCTCAATGTCATTTCTGGTCAGCTGACGAGTATCAATTTTAGGGGGCTGAAATACAGTATCTATTTTTGGGTCAGGTCTGATATAAGGCATCGATATCATATATTTTGGCCTGAAATTGGGTAAAGACAAGAGACGACCCTTGGTAACAGTTACTAGAACACGCGTTGCACACCGCCTTCCCAATAATTACGGGTAGTATTCCCCTCTCCCGAGAGCTAGTTGATTCTTGAAATCTATATAAAGGTTTTCTGCAGGGTCTGACACATTCAATGGACAGTGTGATGCATGTCACTGAGGAAAACCACAATAATACTTAACGTGCGAGATTGTCTAGCAATCAATCAATTGTGACTGGAGAGTTTCTCACTGCTCTACCGGTTAAAAATTTGACATCTAAATCAGGATACCCTTGAAGGCAATAGATCATTTTCTAACGTTCCGCTTTGATAACATCTCTTTGTAAACATCTGATCGTCAGAGATGAACCAGCTGCCGACAGGACAATTTAAGGTCGCTATAAATCGTTTGATGGACATTTGATTTCTCCTAACAATAACAGGAATTTGACAAGTAAACAGAAGACAACGAAATAATGACGCGATGTACCACCAGAACTATCACCAAAAAAATGTTCTCAGTGACGGCAAATGTAGCTGGGGAAAATATTAGGAGAATATAGCCCCCGCTCTTCCAGTCATTGTGAGGAGCTCGCTTCGTAGGGGATATGTCATCAGAAAGACTTCGTGCGATATTAATAGCAAGTAAATATTACTACTTTATTTGACCTCAGTTGTACTTTCCCGTCCTTCTAGTTTAGATATGCTAATTAGCTACTGCGACTCGTGCTTTGAGCCTTCTTCAACGTTTTATAAATTCATTTGTCACTGTAAATAGCGATGTAAGGGCAGCTAGATCGGGATTCTCTCTGCCTAAAAACTGATGTATTTGTCTCGTGAGTAGTTTCAGACTTCCTTTTATCTGAAATTGCTGGAAAAGAATTGTAATCAAATTTTACAAAATGTTTTGCTCTGTTAAGAACTCATGTGACAAATTTCCGGTCAACACCTGAGGTCTTTTATTTATTTTTTTTAAATGTATTTCCGCCGCATTTTTTGTGTTATGAGCTTACAATGAATTTGTTATATAATGGCTGGGGAAATGAGATATGTGCAGGCCCGCAAATGATCCCCGTACCGCAAATGATCCCCAAATTGTACCGCAAATGATCCCAGGATCGGAAAAGATCCCCAAACTGTAACGTAAATGATCCCGGGTCGGAAATGGCCACCTCGCCATAAAATTTGGAAATGTGAGGACTCAGGAATTTGGACAGAGGATTTAACATTTATGCAATCGCTTTTTTATTACTGTGAAACTCAGAAAACCGTGAACATTTGGATTTGATTCTAAAAGGTTAATTTGGTACAACACTAATCACAATAAAATTCACAGGACACGCGAGAAAACCTCAAAACCACAACCAATAGGGCACGTTCGATATATCAATATTCTAACATCGATCCGAAGCCTTCCGGTCAAAATTGCAAATAAGTTTCCTTTGTCTTTCAATTCCCAAAAGAGACTTGGATACAAAGAAAACACCACCAAACATAGAACATTGTCCTGAAAACCCGAGAGCCATGTTAGAATACTGATATATCGAACGTGGCTTATTACCGCTGGTGTTTGCGGTTTAGTTTTCTCACGCTTAATTGGCTTTTTCCTTGCTACACAATGATAATCCTTAAGTATTTCTGGTATTCACGATTTTCTGAATTTCACAGTAATAATACAATATTTTGATACAACACTTACTACACGAAACGCAAGAAAATGTGCAGTATGATCGATTTGAATGCTAATCGTATCTGCAACAAAATTCTTTATTCTTCTCCGCGCGCCTATTTGTCACGATCGCGTGGGTGTCCAATTACAGGTATCCAATTTGAACTTTTTGTAATTGGACACCTGTAATTGGATACCCACGTGATTCGCACGTCAATCACGCGCGCTTTAATGGCTTCCTTTGCACTGTTTCCTGCAGTTTTCAAAGCTTTTGAAAAGCGTTACAGACGTTTTCACTCAAAAGAATTTCTCAAAAAACATTTTTAATACCGGAATTTATTACATATACGATTAATTAGTATTTGGACCTTGTGCCGTAATCGTGCTCGTAATTTCAGATCGGTCTCGCGCTTCCCGCTCGTCCGATTTTGAAATTTCTCGCCCGATTACTCCCTGAATTGTACTCCACACGGTCCAATCACTATTACAAATTTCACAACTTTAAAAATGATATCCAGCGTCACGAAATCCTGTGTTGGAAATTTGTAGTTTAGCTAGATCCTTCCCTGAATGACTTCATTGGGTCCGGCCCTGAGATGTATGATGACACAGGATGTTCACTATATCCTCACATTTGGAAACAACTGAGAACTCCCAAGTGGATTGACTACATTTTTACCACGGTAACTAGCACGAAGGAATCTTAGAAACCTTCGTGGGAGCCCGTGGCTATCTAGAACGCAAAAATTAGAAGTGTACAGGGAAAAATTCTAAGCGGTTAATTAGATGGCAGAGGCATCTTCGAAGATTCATGTTTCTTTTTGCAGTGCGTTTCCTAAACGAAAAATTTATGCAGTCGACACATGTCAATTTAGTATTTTGCGCAGTATGTTGAATGTTTTTTATTGCTGCTTTTATGCTTGAGGTATTTGTTTTTTCTTCACCTAGGATAATTTAGAAAATATGTATCCATCCATACACTTTTCATGGAGTCCACGCCATTCCGAACTTTTTGGGATGGAATCAGTTCCGGTCCCGGGATCACTTGCGGTACAGTTTGGGGATCATTTGCGGTACGGGAACATTTGCTGGCCGGGATCATTTGCGGCCTGTACAGATAAACAAGTCTTTAAAAAAAAGTCAACTTGTGGATCAAGTTACAGAAAATTAGACGGACGGGCCGGAAAGTGAAATATCCTTCAGTTACCAAGGCTGAAACAATATGATAGCTGCCGGCAGACAAGATGACTTACCAATTTCGCCAAGTAAAATTAAAGTTAACTAAACAAAGACGAAAAAGGTGAAGACAAAACGTGGAGCAAAGTACAGTATCGTGAATTGCACATGAGTGAGCTTTCGATCCAGAATTTGAAAACGTCCGACGACGATTTCAATCTCGTGTGCGAAATTCAAACTGACGTCGACAAGTGAAGAAATGTACCTTAGCCAGTTGAGCTACTTAGTGCATCTTGGCCACCAAATCATAATTTGCTTAAGAATCTACATTCACGTAGCTTTCTACTGACGTATTGAAAGTAGAATTATGCGCAGATATGCTACAGAAAACAAGTTTTTATAACATAATATTTGAAAGATGGGTGGATCGTGTCGCAATTTGATGGTAATTTCGGTTTTAAACGGCACGTTTTTTTGGCTATTTATCGTATCATGGCCTCTAAATATTGACGTCCTGCGGAATCTGCATTCACTTAGCTTTAAAATGGTGTAGTTAACTTAGA